GCACTTTCCCTTGTGAAAATCTGTGAAAATAGATTTCCCCAGCAAACCGTCCCCAGATGGATCGGAAGTACCTTCCTGGGACCGGTGATGGGGAGGCCCTTCCGGCCGGTTCTCAGCTCACTCCATGGGCAGCAGGAGAGGACGACGGGCCTGGCTCAGGACAGAAGGCCTCCTCCCTCCCGTGAGGGTGTCCTCCCAGCTCTACGCCCTGCAAAGCCTTCACCCAATCCTTTGACCTCATGATCACAAAGTTAAAAACTTAATTTTTAACTTCACGTTCACCTTTGCCTTGAATCTTCAGGGGAGGAATGTGGGCCTTAAAACCATCCATGGCCCGGCCGTGGTTGACTGAGCAACGACCTAGGAACCAGGAGGTCACAGTTTGATTTCCGGTCAGAACACATGCCGGGCCCGGGCTCCATCCCCAGGAGGGGGCGTGTGGGAGGCAGCCGCCCCATGATTCCCTCTCATCACTGACGCTTCTCTCTCTCCCCGTTCTTTTCTGAAATCAACACAAATGTATTTAGAAATAAGGTGTGAGCAGGGCCTCGTAGGCGGCCAGCTGACTGCCCGGGAGGCTTCTCAGGCTTCCTGGGGCGGAGTGTGAGCGCCGGAGCCGCCAGGGGGGAGACAGAGCGCCCGGGAGTCAGGGCCTGGGCACCGGGGCCTGCGGGGAGTCCCGGGTGGGGGAGTGAAGGCCGAGATGAGAGGACGACAAGCTAGGGAGGTACAAGTCTGGGGAGAGGGGGTGGGGCTCACAGGGAGCCAGCAGAACCCAGGGCAGCGGGAAATGTGAATCTGAGTGGGCAGGGGAGGGGCCGCGGACGGTGACCCCGACCTGCTGAGCCAGCGGCAGGCACGTGGTGCCCAGGCTGATCCTGGAAAACACGTTGGCGAGAGGAGGAGGGAGGCCAGGCCCAGAGCAGGGAGTTTCCGTGGTAACGTCAGCAGGAGGACCGGCCTTAGCAGGGGGCCAGGGTCCCGTCCGGCACCAGGGACTCTGGGGACCCAGGAGGCCTGGCCATGGGGGGTCCAGGTGCAGAGTCCGGGCACCTCCAGAAAGGGGGGGCCACGGTGCACGGAGGGCGGGCCCTGCCCGGTTGCTGCTGCGTTTAATCAGAGCCTGTGATCAGCTCATCAGCGATTTTAGGGGAGAGGTGGGGCCGTCTGCAGGATGGTGGGGTGAGCTCAGACTCCTCCCGCAATCCTCTGCACACCTGGGGGCGCCGCAGCCCTGGGTGTTTTGTGGCCTGTTGTGGGGTTTTTTTGTTGCTGTTGTTTTTAAATATATTTTTATTTATTTCAGAGAGGAGGGGAGAGGGAGAGAGAGATGGAAACATCCATGATGAGCGAGAATCACTGATCAGCTGCCTCCTGCATGCCTCCCACTGGGGATTAAGCCCGCAACCCGGGCCTGTGCCCTGACTGGGAATTGAACCCAGGACCCTTCAGTCCGCAGGCCGACGCTCTATCCACTGAGCCACACCAGCTCGGGCCCCCGTTGTGTTTTGAAAGCTTTTTGTTAATTAGGCTCCGAACCCTCATGTGAAGTCCGAGGCCAAGTGACCACCCGTGTTGTAACCGGAGGAAGGCTGGCGTTGGGGTGCAGGTGTCCGACCCCCGCTGTCGGCTGTTTCTCTGCGAGGCCTCTGCACTCCGGGGGCCACTCCGAGGGCCCGCGGCCCCCGCATGGGCTCAAAAATCAAAAGCCAGCGGCTTCCACAGTGGTGTCCGCTGGGCCTTCCTCAGACCCTCGCGGACTCCATTCCCGAAAGACCCGCTTCACCTCCTTCCTGCTCGCAGGCGCCCGCTTTCCGGTCCCGCCTTCTCTCTCCGCTCTGCACTCCTTCACCTCGGCCGGGGGTCTTCTGGTCGTGTCCTGGTCGTGTCCTGGTCGTGTCCTGGTCGCCACTCCTGGGATGCAGCCAGGAGGAGCAACCCCTGTGTCGCCTGATGGGAGGATCCCAAATAACTGGAACAGGGTCTCTTTCATTTTAGCGTCCGAGTTTTAATAGACGGGAACCCCATGAATAAACACCCAGGTTTCACAATCTATAGCCCGACAGGCCTGCTCCTGCTGGGGTTACGGTTTCACGCGCTGCCCTGGGTGCGGCTCAGTGACATGGGCACGGGTCCCGGCAGATCTCACCCCTGGAAGAACTAACCAGTCATTATTCCCACAGGGAGGCTTATTCGCCTGGCACTGTCCCAGAGGGAAAGTCAAAGGCAACGAGAAGTGCCCGGCCCGTGGCTCCGTGGTTGAGCATCGACCTAGGAACCAGGAGGTCAGGGTTCGATTCCCCGTCAGGGCACAGGCCCGGGTTGTGGGCTCGATCCCTGTGTGGGGCGTGCAGGAGGCAGCCGATCCATGATTCTCTCTCATCGATGATGTTTCCATCTCCCTCTCCCTCTGCCTTCCTCTCTGAAACCAATAAAAATACATTAAAACAAACCAAAACAGAAAACAAAGGCAGGGGAATTGGCGTTACAAGCGTGTCCAGCTGTTGCCAGCCCGGCTGGGTGAGAGCCCCGGGGAGTGTCTAAGACTCACTGATGTCGGGGTGCTCCCCAGACCCATGCGTTCGGGCTCTTGGAGCGGCGCCCACACATCCGCATGTTTCAGAGGCTTCCCAGGAAAGTCTGACTCACACTCGGAGGTGTGACCTGCGGAGCCGGCCGTGAAGAACGTGAAGAGTGAAGATGAGTAAGAAAACGCTGAGAAGCAGGTGGCCCGCATCCCACATCGACGTCTGCGCCGGGGCCCTCAGAGGCGCGTGAGGGGCCTTTCTTTGGCCCAGTCCTGGAGCTCCGCCCGCCCGAACGTGAGGTAGAACACCAGGCCGAACAGGTTGACGGCGGCAGCCAGGAAGAAGACGTGCCTCCACCCGGACGCGGAGTCCTGGGGAGAAAGCCAGGGTCGTGCTCAGGGTCCCCTCCCCACCAGGGCCGGAAGCCCTCCGTGCTGGGGTGACACGCTGACCCCAGAGAGCACAGGGCATCCCCTGCCACGGCCACGTGTCTTGGGTTATCGGAGAAGGTTTCATGAATCTTGGAAGGAAAACGACTCTGTTTTCCTTTAAACCAGAATTAATTCACCGACGTGAATGTTTTTCTGGATTTCGGATCTCAATAGTCATGAACATGCCCTACTCCTCATAGAAAATTATGCTTAAAAGGACATCATTAAGATTTCATCCTCATGCCCGGCCGGCGGGGCTCAGTGGTTGAGCATCAACCTATGAGCCAGGAGGTCACGGTTGGATTCCCGGTCAGGGCACAGGCCCGGGTTGCAGGCTGGCTCCCTAGTGCAGGAGACAGCTGGTCCATGATTCTCTCTCATCACTGATGTTTCTGTCTCTTCCTCCCTCTCCCTTCCTCTCTGACATCGATAAAAATATATTTTTTTTAAAAAGAAAATGTTTGTGTACGTTGACTCTCGTCCTCCCATCCAGTCTGGGTTCCGCCCACGTCCTGTGGAGCCAGCCTCCTGCCCCGCCCCCTGCGTGTCCGCCAGGACGAACCTCTTTAAACCGGCCTTCCTGAGCGGCCTCTTCCTCACCATCCCTCGCCCGTCTTCCTCTCCTACCTTGAAATCTGCCCTTCATGCCCTAGCTGGTGTGGCTCAGTGGCTAGAGCCTTGGCCTGAGGACTGAAAGGTCCCGGGTTCGGTTCCAGTCAAGGGCACATATCTCAGTTGCAGGCTCCGGGCTCTGGTCAGGGGTGTGTGGGAGGCAACCAATTGAGTGTCTCTCACATCGGGGTGTCTCTCTGTCTCTCCCCCGCCTTCCACTCTCTCTGAAAACCAATGGGAACAATGTCCTCGGCTGAGGGTTGAAAAAGAAAAAGAAACCTGCCCTTCACGCTGGCGTCACCGCGAACCTCCACCTGCGTCTGCATCTCTCGGAACTCACCCTGAGCCGCTTTTCTCTGCCCGAACCGCTCGTTTCCATCAACCTGACGTCATTCATTTTTAGAAATTTGTCTCTTACTCCCCCCCTTCAACCCCCCAGGGAACCTGAGCTCTCGGAGCCCATGGACGGTCCTGCTCGGAGCAGAGCAGCGTGTCAGCATCCGTGCCCGCCTTGCCCTCAGACCACACAGTCCCGGAGTGCAGAGGCCCTACTGTGCGCCCCCCGGGCCCAAAACAGCACCTGCCGCTCGCACACACTCAGCGCTGCCCACCTGGCTGATGAGGAACCCGGTGGCCGTGGAGGAGATGATGCCCGCGAGGAGCCCGAATCCCCGGGAGATGCCCATGAGGAAGCTGGCGTACCTGCGGAGAGGACGGCACGGGCTGGACGCCAGCGCACATGGCGGCCTTTCCTCGGGCGGAAAGACGGCTTTCCCGCCACTCAGCTCCGAGCGGGCGGTGTCTCACTCGCCCCAAGACATTTGGGGCCACATACACCTGTGCCAGCCCTGACGCCACCAGAACCAGAAGCAGGGAGCCACGCTGTCCCCGGGGCCCAGGTGCCTGCCTGGCGGTGTGCGGAGGGGACAGGACAATCAGCTCCAGACAGAACGCCTGGGTTCAGACCTGGCTCTGCCTTGGTGTGGCTTCAGGCACGTCGCCTGACCGTCTGTGCCCCAAGAGGGCCGCCTGCCTCGTGGGGCTGTGAGGACTGGGCGTGGGGGGCATGAGGAGCTCCCAGGCCCGGCCGGCATGGCTCAGGGCTGAGCGTTGACCTATGAACCAGGAGCTCACAGTTCGATTCCTGGCCAAAACAGTCAGGGCACAGGCCCAAGTTCCGGCTCCATCCCCAGTGTGGGGGGTGCAGGAGGCAGCTGGTCAATGATTCTCTCTCATCTTTAATGCTTCTCTCTCTCTCCCTCTCCCTTCCTCTCTGAAGTCAATCAAAATATAAAAATAAAAAAAATAAAACTGCCTTTGCCCGCCTGGCGTGGCTCATTGGTTGAGCATCCAACTACGAACCAGGGGGTCAGGGTTCGATTCCCGATAAAGGCGCACGCCCGGGTTTCTGGCTTGATCCCTGATAGGGGTCAGGCAGGAGGCAGCCAATCAGTGATGTTCCTCTCTCATCAATGTTTCTTTCTCTCTCTCCCTCTCTCTTCTTCTCTCTCTAAAAAATAATCAATAAAAACATACAGTGGGGCCTTGACTTACAAGTGTCCCGACTAACGAGATTTTCGAGATACGAGCCGTCTCTCAGCCGATTTTTTGCTTTGAGTTCCGAGCTAAAATTCGGGTTATGAGCCAGCTTCAGATACCCCACCGCTAGTTGGCGCAGTGAACATCACAGTGATTTGACATACGAGTAATTTGAGTTACGAGCTCCGTCACGGAACGAATTAAACTCGTAAGTCAAGGCCCCACTGTAGTTCAAAACAAACAAACAAAAACCCGCCTCATGACAGGACGGAGGCCCGACGCCCCTGCAGCGAGCGGCCTGGAGGCGGAGCCAGCAGGTAAGGTCTCACCTGGGGGCGATGTCCAAGGTGTTGATGATGAACCCCGAGTCGCACAGGTTGCTGGTCCCGGGAATGAGGATCAGCAGAACCACGGTGGTCACGTAACTGGAAGCCACGAAGGGCAGGGCCACGGCGCAGAGCGACGGGAGCAGGAGGCCTGGGCGGGGCGGATGGTCAGGACCCACTCAGACCAGACGCGGAGCGGGGTGGGTCCCCCGAGCCCGGGGCCTGTCCTTACCCAGGGCTGAGAAGAGCTTCCGGACGGTGAGGAGCCTCAGGAGGTCCCGGGACAGAAGGAAGTCGGCCAGCTGGCCCCCCAGGACCGTGCAGGTGGAGGCAGCCACGAAGGGCAGGGCGGACAGGACCCCGCTCTGCAGGCAGGAAGCCAACGGGTGAGACCGCGTCCCAGGGACGGCAGCCCCTCCGGACACTGAGCCGTTTTAGGGGAACTAGTGTCACCGTCTCAGGGGAGAGGCCGGGCACCTGCCTCACCCAGGGATAATTTTCCACTGATTTTTAGGGAGAGAGGGAGAGATAGAGAGAGACATCGATGGGTTGCCTCCTGCACGCGCCCAGACCAGGGCCTGGGCTGGGGAAGAGCCTGCAACCAAGGTATGTGCCCTTGACAGGGTTCGAACCCGGGACCCTGTGGTCCGCAGGCTGATGCTCTAGTCACTGAGGCAAACCGGTGAGGGCACAGTATAAATCCCTGAGAGAACTTGAAGAATTACGAATGAGGTGTGAGAGAAAAACAAAATAAACAAAACAAACAAACAACCCCCCAAAAGAATGAGGTGTGGTCGGGTAGCCTAGCGGTTAGGGGCACCGACCGCAGCGCCCTGTCCCTGAGCAGCCCTGTGATCCGGGGCGTCCTCTCACCTCTGCGTGTCCCGTCCCCACGCCCGTCCCCTGGGGTCCTTAGGGTGCCTCTCAAGGTCGCCTCCAGGGTTGACAGGTGCGTGCAAAGCCAGGCGGGACAGGGAGCCAGCCCTCCCGCCCCCCTCGCTCCCGCGGGCAGCGCACCTCCCTGATGCTGACGTGCAGCACGGAGCTGATGTAGGTGGGCAGGTACGTGACGATGACGGTGCAGAGCCAGAAGTGGCTGAAGAACCCCGAGAAGATGGCCCACAGGGGCAGGCAGCGGGCCATGGCCTTGAGGGGGACGGAGCGTCGAGGGGACGTGGGCTGAGAGGACACAGCGCATCCACGTGGGTATTCGGACGTCAGAGGGCCCCTCCTGGGAGCACCCACCCACCTCTGCGGGGGCCCCGGGGGAGGGGTGCAGGTGCTGGGGGCCCCACTCACCTCTGCAGGGTGGGGGCGGGGGAGGGGTGCAGGTGCTGGGAGCCCCACTCCCCTCTGCAGGCTGGGGACTTCTGCGAAGCTCTTTCCGGACTCTTTCACTCAGTTCACATTCATAGGGATTCCTATATGCAGGCTGCACATAGATACATGCACACGCACACACATACACATGCACATGCACACACCTGTACACACATGCACACACACATGCACGTGCACACACACCTGTACACACATACATACACACACACATGCACGTGCACACACACCTGTACACACATACACACGCACACACGTGCACGTGCACACATGCATACATGCACACACACCTGCACACACGTGCACACATGCACATATGTGCACACACATACACACGCGCACACATGCCAATTCATGGTTATTCCATCCCAAGGACGTCAGCGTTCCCACCTCATGTCAATTTTTTAAAATATTTTAAAATTGATTTTAGAGAGAGGAAGGGAGGAGAGAGAAACATCCATGAGAGAAGCATCCATCAGCTGCCTCCTGCACGCCCCGACTGGGGATGTGCCTGCAACCAAGGCCCATGCCCTTGACCGAAATCAAACCCGGGATCCTTCAGTCCACGGGCCAGTGCTCTATCCACTGAGCCAAACTGGCTATGGCTCTATCAATTCTTGTACAAATCTCCTTTTTTAAATTAATTAATTTGTTATAAATATATTTTTATTGATTTTAGAAAGAGAGAGAGGGAGAGAGGAATAGAAGCATCAATGATGAGAGAGAATCATGGATCAGCTGCCTCCTACATGTTCCCTACTGGGGATTGAGTCCTCAACTGGGGCCTGTGCTCGGATGGGGAATCCAACCGTGACCTCCTGATTCATAGGTTGATGCTCAACCCCTGAGCCACGCCGGCCGGGCTCTACAAATCCCCTTTGAGCTACAGCTGTCCAGCTAACCTCCCTCCAGTAGCGACGGCCATCGGTCACCCTCTGCAGACACCTGAGCACGGCCCCCTCCTGGACGAGACGAAGACACCGCCCCCTCCCGTTCCCGCCACCTTCCAGGTAACGGAGGACCGGGCCTGTCCCGCGGGAGGAAGGTGGCAGGACGCTGGGATGTGGCCGCATCGAGGGTGAGTGACTCACTCACCGAAGATGTAGAAGATGAAGGGCCAGCCCAGGGCCTGAGAGATGAGCCCCCCGACGCAGAGGATGAGGGAGGACCCCAGCGCGGCCCCTGAGGAGAAGGCGGAGGGAGACACGTGTGAACCCGGGGGAGCCGAGGCCCGGCTGCCCTGGACGGCGCCCCAGCAGTGGGGTGGCCAGCGCGGAGTGGCTGGGTGAGGAGAGATCTGCCCAGTGAAGTCACGGGAAGGAACGAGGATCCATCTTCATCATAACAATAACCCCGTGGCTCCAGCCTGGCCAAATCCACAGCCCACCTCCTTTCCTGTTTTTTGGTCTTTAAATATATTTGTATTGACTTCAGAGAGGAAGGGAGAGGGAGAGAGAAAGAAACACCAATGGTGAGCGAGAGTCATGGATCGGCTGTGTCCCGCACGCCCCACACTGGGGACCGAGCCCACAACCCCGACCTGTGCCCCGACCTGAATCGAACCGTGACCTCCTGTTCACAAGTTGATGCTCAGCCATTGAGCCACGCCCACCAGGCTCACCTTCTTTCCTTATAACCAGAGGTGCCTGCTGGCAGGGAGCACCAGGAGGTTGGGGACAGAAGAGGGAAGACAGAC